TTGCCAAAAATAGGACAAAGTTTCACCTTAATGAACGGCATATAAATCAGGTACGGGTTGAGAATACTAAGAGGGAGGAGACTCACTCTCTTGTTCATGAAGAAAATGTTGTTGGGAGGGATGGTGATAAAATGGCAATTGTACAACTTTTATTGGAAAGCAACATTCAAGATCAGAATGTGTCAGTTGTTGCATTAGTTGGAATTGGGTGGGGGAGACCACACTTGCACAGTTAGTATACAACGACGAGAGGGTTACTAAACATTTTGAACTTAAGATGTGGGTGTGTGTTTATGATATTTCTAATGTGAAACTCATCACAGAAAAGATCATAGAGTTTGCAATAGGCAAAACACTGGAAAACCTTTTGATGGATAAATTAAAAGATAAGCTAGTGAAAAAATTACTGAAAAGAAATATTTACTTGTGTTGGATGATGTGTGGAATAAGAATCGTGACAAATGGTTAAAATTAATAGATTTGATGATGGGTAGTTTGAGAGGAAGTAAGATTTTACTAACTACAAGGGCCGAGTTGGTTGCAAATGTTGCAGGGACAAATTCACTATTTTTTGTAAAAGGCTTGTCTAAGGAGGCCGGAGTCTTGATGTTTATTTGAGAAAATGGCATTTAAACAAGGGAAAGAATCGAAGAATACAATTCAAGTAACAATCGGCAAGGAAATTGTCCAGAAGTGTAAGGGAGTCCCTCTTGCCATAAGGGCTATCGGAAGCCTACTATACTCTAAAGATAACGTTGCTGAGTGGTTGCTTTTCAAAAACAATGATTTGTCAAAAATAGCTAGAGCAGAGGATGTCATTTTGCCAATACTAAAGTCGAGTTATGATAATCTTCCTTCGTATCTGAAGAGATGCTTTACATTTTGTTCCTTGTATTTGAAAGATCAAAAAATTGAAAAGCCAAAATTAATCCAATTGTGGATTGCAGAGGGATTCATTCGGCCAATGTATGAAAATCAACATTTGGAGGATGTGGGTGATTTGTATTTTATGAATTTATTGAGGAGGTCCCTTTTTCAAGATGTTGAAATAGATAACTGGGGCGATATGATGAGTTGCAAAATGCATGATCTTGTTCATGATCTTGCACAATCTGTCACAAGGGCAAGATTTTTCATGGTGAATTCAAATGTAGAATATATTACGAAAAGAACTCAGCATGTGTCACTTGATTACGGTGTAAATTCGGTTCAAAAAATTTCAATTCAGTTGGTTAGAGCTAAAAAGTTATGGACATTTATTATGAATGGTGAAGAGTTTGATTTTTTTGATAAATTAGCTTCTAAATGGATTGTTTCAACTTTTAAAAGATTTCGCGTGTTGGATTTACATGCTAAAATTGAGATTGTGCCAAGTAACATAAGCAAGATGAAACATTTAAGGTATGTTGATCTCAGTTACAATACTGATATCAAGACTTTGCCAAGTTCTATAACCACGTTGCGGAATTTGCAAACCTTAAAACTCAATGGACGTTGGAGTCTTGAAGAATTACCAAGAGATTTTAAAAGATTGGTGAGCCTTAGACATCTTGAGCTTGACGGCTGTGACGCCTTGAGTAGCATGCCGTATGGATTGGGTGAGTTGACGTCTCTTATGACGTTAACATTGTTTGCAACGGATTCAAAAAGCCGACTGAGTGAATTGCAGAGTCTAAGCAATCTACGGGGAAGGTTGTGATACCCCCGGATTTCCGAATGCAGGTTGGCCAGGCCCACGCCCGAATACCCGAGGATATCAAAAACAAAATCGGCAATAAACGAACACAGAGTACAAAAGAATAAAGAAGAATAAATAAAATGCTGACAAGAAACTAAAATGATAATCTAATAATAAACCTCAGAATATATTTCCATTAATTAATAAACTCTTCTGATACAACTGATCCTCCAAAATACAACTTGGGAATCCATACTGTGTGGACCTCTAGAAAATCCAAACTAAACAAATGACAACAATAATTGTCTAAATCGGGAAACTGAATCATAAAGGAACTCCTATGTAGCATCGGAAGAATGAAGTAGACTGATCCCCGCTCAGCACGAACAACCTCTACTCCTGACGAACACCTGAAAAATAATGGTGGGTCAGACCCACAAACAAGTTCTACTCTACTACAGTCCAAGCAGAGATCCGATACACGTATACATCCTAGTCAATCCAACAGTAACTAGTAGTCCGTATATATATATACACACACTAAAGGAACCTCACTAGACTATAGGGTTGTCTCAACCTGAATAGTAGGCAACATGCAAAATGCACATATAATGGGTATGAGTACCTACACCTACCAGGGTACACAACTACACTATATCTAACTACACATCCCTGGCGATATACGCACCCTAACCACTGATCCTGAGACTCAAGCTCATATCATGGCACCATACTTATATATATATAATTTAGTAACCATCCTATCCAGCATAAATTAATCCTCCATAAGTTATTCAACTTATTCAACTGACCTGACTTGAATATAAGTAGGACTTAACATTTTAGTTAATCCATTTTCTTATATAATAAATTAATCATCTATAAGTCATTCAACTTGTTCAGCTGACCTGACTTGAATATAAGTATGACTTAACATTTTAGTTAATCCATTCCCTTATATAATAAATTAATCCTCCATAAGTCATTCAACTTGTTCAGCTGACCTGACTTGAATATAAGTAGGACTTAACATTTTAGTTAATCCATTCCCTTATATAAAATAGGTAGGACTTAACTGATAAGTTAATCCGTCCCTAGAATGCCACCATCCCATACCGGTGCATTAAACCACACGATCCAAAAATTGATGTAACAATTAAAGAAATACATCAAACATTCCAGAAATAGCTATGATAATATGACATCAAGTTATCACATAATATGAATGACTTATTATTTATTTAAGCTTCCTATATCATATGTCCTACACAAACTGAATCTTATACATGATGATATTTTATTATATCATCAAATAAGCATTCTCCATATCCAATTCATCCTACACATTTAATCTCAATTGCTAAAGCATTTTAAAAGATTAAATCCATTCGTTTGTTTAAAACATTCAAATAGCAAGCATCGTTATGATTGAGTGTATTTAAATTTATTTAAACCCAAACCTAGTCCCTATTTAATGTTCAGGAATCCTATGTATATTTCTACGTTCCATCATTCCACAGATATGAAAAATACATAATTCAAACATGTAAAAATTCACACCAAAAATCAAATCAAAATCATGTATTTATCAATTCATAACACAAGAACAGATATGAACCAATTTCATAAAAACCTATGTTTTAATCCAATTAAACATACATAATTATTTAATTTTATGTGTTTAATAAATCCTGAAATTTCCTAGGCATGTACAGAAACACGAATCAAAGGGAAAGAGATAGAAGAAGAACTTGCCTTAAACTTTCGGATCGAAAGTTAAACTTCTTCTTCCTTGATCTTCTCTCTACAGGGTTTTTCTCATCCTTCCTTCATTTTCCTCCTTCCTTCTCTAACTCTCTCTCTCTAGAATATATTACGTGATATATTTTCACTCCTTTTTCAACCTATAGTTGTGTATTTATAGGCTAAATAATAACCCTATTCCTTTTCCCAATCCAAGTCAACTTAATAAAGAAAAATAAAAAATAAAAATATTAAAAAGTTAACTTAAAATATCTTTCGTATATAATTTATGTATACCCTTATTAATTAAATAAAATATATACATTAGATTATTTATTAATACTAAAGTTACCATAATATTAAAAGGTAACTTAAAACATGTTACGTATATAATCTATCTATATCCTCATTAAATAAATAAAATATATACATCAGATTATTTATTTATAATAAAGTTACCATAATATTAAAAAGTAACTTAAAACATGTTACGTATATAATCTACCTATATCCTCATTAAATAAATAAAATTTATACATCAGATTATTTATTTATACTAAAGTTACCATAATATTAAAAAGTAATTTAAAACATAACACGTATCAAACCTATGTATATTTTTATTATTTAAATATAAAACATATACATAAGATTAAATATTACTACTCAAGTTACCATAAAAGTAATTAATAAATTACTTTCCTTTTTATATATATTAAAAAGGTAAGTAAAATATGTTATGTATATAATTTATGTATATGTTTATTAAATAAATAAATTATACACAATTCATTATTTATTAATGGATTATTCAATAATACTTAAGTTACCATAATATTATAAAGTAACTTAAAACATAACACGTATCAAATCTATATATATTTTTATTAGTTAAGTATAAAACATATACATCAGATTAAATATTATTACCCAAGTTACCATATATATATATATATATATATATATATATTATACATATATAATAAAAAAGTAATTAATAAATTACTTTTTTTATTATATATGTATAATATATATATATATATATATATATATATATATATATATATACACACAATTATTTATGGGTAATAATTCACACACATCCAACCTCCTATCCAAGTAGTCCATGGGACCTAATTAGTTGGCCCATTATTACTAACCGTAACTATAAAAGAAAAATAAAAGAAAATAATAAAAGAAAAGAAAATATTTAATTTATAATTAATCAAAACACCATTTAAGCACATAATCTAATTTAACAATTAACACATAGACAAATACAAATAATACATAAACACATAATCAAATAATCAAGAAATACCTAATTCAATTAAACACATAAGTAATTAGTTAAATAATTAATTAAATAATTTATAATACAATTAAAATAAATAAATAAATACCGAGACTATCCTTTTTAAAATTAGAAGTATTACAAAGGTTGATTAAAAATTAAACTTCAACTTGGGGATTCATCTGGCCACCGGTGGTTACCAAAAGCAACAGCACAGTGAATTATTGAGGGGACAAACTACTTGAGGTCCACAGAATACGTTAAGTCACTGGTATTAAATGGCGGGGAGGAGTTATTGTTGGAAGCCCTACATCCACACCCAAATTTGAAGGGGCTGCCAATAGAGGATTATGAGGGAGTGAGTTACCCAAGTTGGATGATGGTTGGCGAAATTGGCTTATCCCTTCCAAATCAAGTCCAAATTTTTATTTTGGGATGTGAGGGATGGAAACATGTTCCACCATTTGGTCAACTTCCTTCTCTCCAATTTCTTAGGGTTGAAGGCATGGAATCCTTGGAGTACATAGACTGCCTCTCTTCATCAACATCCTTCCCTTCGCTGAAAGAACTCCGACTCTCTTCATTGTATAATTTGAAGGGATGGTGGAGGAGCCAAGCAGAAGAAGAAGGAGCAGCCCAACAGCAACAACAGCTTCTATCATTCCCAAATCTCGACAAAATTGATAGATCCAATTGTTACATATGGAAACATCTTGCACCATTTGGTCAACTCCATTCTCTTCAATTTCTTAGGGTTGCATGGATGGAATCCTTGGAGTACATAGACAACCGTACTGGCTACGGCTGCCACTCTTCAACAACATTCTTCCCATCGCTCAAACAACTCGTATTCGTTAGAGTTGCCTAAATTGAAGGGATGGTGGAGGAGCGAAGCAACACCAACACCAACACCAACACCGGCCCAACACCAACATCATCATCAGCTAATTTTATCAACATCATTTCCTTCTCTTTCCAAATCAATCATCCATTTTTGCCCTAATCTGGAATCGGTGCCTTTTTTGCAACAATGTCTTGAAACCCTACAACTGTCCGGGTTCAACGAGAAGCTAGTGCTACAACAGTTAATGATGATGGTGTCCCCAACAATAGTCGCAACCTCGTCCTCTTCATCTTCTTTGCTTCTTCGTCTTTCCAAATTAAAGTCTCTTTCTTTATATTCAATTGAGGATCTAGTTACTCTGTCTGAGGAGTCGTTTCGAAGCAGCCTCACTTCCCTCCAGGAGATTGAGATTTCTGATTGTCCAAGACTAACCTCTCTGTCAGGAGGACTGCGACATCTCACCGCCCTCCATTCCTTGTCTATCTGCAACTACCATGAGCTTGATCTATTAGATGATGACGATGGCATGAAATTTCAAGGCCTAGATAACCTCACATATCTCCTTATTCACAATGTTCCAAAGTTGGCATCTCTTCCTGTGGGGCTATTTATTGAACGGTGTATCAATTTGATGGCTTTGCCAAAGTGGATAGACCACCTCACATCACTTGAGCGACTTTCCATTTCCTACTGCCTCGAATTGACGTCACTGCCAGAGGGAATGGGTCGGCTCAATGCATTACAAAAACTCAAAATTACATCATGCCCTCGAGTTTTACATGATAGATGCCTGAAAGAAAAAGGGGAAGATTGGCCAAAATTGCTCACATCCCAAATGTTTCTATTACACTATTGGTATTAGTTTTACAACCTTCTTCTTTTTCCTATTTGTATTTGTTTAAATCTAAAAGGTGATACATTTTATTAGCTCCACCTTGTGAAAATTTTAGGTTTTACCTACTCTGTTAACTTCAAAATATAAGGGGAAAAAAACATATCATCTAAAAAAATGAAAAATGGAACTATCATTCTCTTAATTGTTGTGTAAAATTGTGGAATAGAAAGAAAATGATTGGATAACTGATTCAAGGCAGGGTCTAGCAGAATTTTCATTGTATGTATTAGGTTATGGTAAACTAGTGTCAGTTTCTAGAGGACATAGTTAATATGTTGAATAGAGTGAAGTTGACCATGTTACAACTCCCTTTTGCAAGTCTCAAATGGAGTGAACTTGGAGGATAGGTTATTTGAGGACCTCCCTTTTTCATTGTTCTAATGATTGAAATCCCCATTTTTTTTCTGGTACATTAATAATACTAATTAAAATATTCCTCTTTTTTTTTTTTTTGGTAAGTATATGACACGCATGCACCAGAAATTGCCTCTTTATGGGACTTTAACTCTCAACGTTCTCTTTTTGGTTAATTGTAAATATGTCAGCATCAGATACTTCCTTCTCATAGTTATGTTATTAATATTTCTAATGGCCCGTCTAATTTTTTTTGCATTTGTTTCTTATTTGGTATGCCCAGAATGACTGCTTATGTCCACAGCATCTGGTGCAGTTGGTCAGCTGCTTGGGCAGTTAGCAAAGTTGGTGGGGTGCCATGTTGTTGGATATCTTTAAGGTAATGCTTCAATTACTTATTTGGGGTATTCTCATCCTGCCTTGTACATATTGACAGTCTTCGTTAACCCTAGGTATCCTGTTACGTATATTATATTGTAATTCAATATTTACAACTGAAAGTTAATTCCATATGACATAGATTACCATACTATGACCTCTATTGTAATCTTTTATTTTCCCCATCTAAATTGTCCTTGAATCATTTTCCCTGCAATGATTCAATTTCTTAATTGAATGTCTTTGCCATTGGTTTTTGACATTTCTCAATTAATAATTTCAAAACCACATATAATCCTGATATTAAACGATAACAATGTCATACACATGGACAATCCTGTCTGATCTGAATTTTGGTGAGATCATAAAACTCCATCTTATTCTTCTCTCTTCTTGTTCATTGTCTCTCTCTTTATTTTAAGTTCAATTGATTTTTAAAATTTTTTTTTTTTTTATGGGACTGGTACAAAAGTCTAGATGGACCATTGCTATCTATAAATTGAAATAACTCAATGTGTATGTGTGTGTGTGTTTTGCTTGTGCAACTTCCATGGATGCAGATATAGAAAGAAGATTGATACTTTTGTATTTGTCCTTCACCATAATCTTATTGTTTCTTTTTTACCTTCTCAGGAACTGTCTGAATGTTTACTTTCTGCATGTGTTATGGGCCATCTTGATGAGCGCATTATCGGATTAGTTTTACAGTCTTCTTCTTCTTCCTATTCGTATTTGTTTAAATCTAAAAGGGGAGACATTTTATTAGCTTAATTTTTATTTTATTTTTCACTATGAGTCTGTGAACCAACTTGTGAAATTTTTACAATTTTCCTACTCTGGTAAGCTTAAAATTTAAGGAAAAAAAATGTCATCTAACAAAATGAAAAGTGGAACTATCATTCTGTTAATTGTGGAAGAGAAACAAATTGATATGGAAAACTGATTCAGGGCAGGGGCCAGCACACTTTCCTTAGAACAATGGTCACTCCACTTTTAATGGTACGCATTAGGGGATGACAAATTTGCATATAAGATTTAACGAAACTAGGTCAAATGGATGATTAAAGACTAAAGTGTATGTATAGCTTTATATGTTACTTGCTTGGTTCAGATTAAGATCCCTCTTTCATATTAGTACAAAGTTTCTACAAATTTACTGGAAGAAACAGGATTAGAACCGGCCAAATGGACGATTACAAAACTGTGTATGTATAGCTTCGTATGAAATATATGTTTTAAAGCAATGGAATGAAATGTGAACTTTTGAGAAATCTGTGTAATGATGTGATGACATTAAATTGATTGATGCTATTGAATTGAATGCAATGTGAGTTGATGTTTACTGTGGATATTGATATTTGATCATTTTTCTGCCTCAATATTGCATTATTATTGTATTGCTATGGATCATGAATGCTTAGCTGAAATGATTTCAAAATATTGTTCTGGAGCTTGATTTCAGAATCCTGTTATGATTTCAGATTTTGCTACTCATAACATATGCCTGTGATAAAACCCTTGTGATCACGGGTAATACAGCATTGATGCTTACTCTTTCATTTCTTCCCTCAGAATCAAAATTATTTCTAGTTTCACCCTCTGTACAAATTTGATGTTCGGAATTCATGAACTTTCGCAGGTTCTCTCCTCTCTTGGCCTGGTCTCATTTCCTATCTCGTATTCATTGTTTCTATCTGAATTTGCTCCTATTCTTATTCCTTCTTCTCTGCATCTGTTTCGGTTGGATACTAAGGCCAGTTATTGAAATGAAAGGGAAACCCCAGGTCACCGCATTTGTTGTTTCCTGTATGCCTTTCTAGAGCAGAGATCTAATCTTTTCTCATCGTATACACACACGTATCACATATGCGTATAAATATGTGTGTGTTCCTGCTTTGTGGCTTTTCCATGTTAAAATCTGGTGTGCATTTCACTGCTTAAATGTTGCTTTTACTGTTATATTTATTTTATATCTGCAAGCATTTACTTGTTTGTTTCAAAAGCAATTTTAACCAGATTAAAGGTTAATCAGTAATTGAATTTTAAATTGCTAAAATGTTTCACCAAGACCCATTCACACCCCCTCTAGGACGATCCTTGTGCTTTATATTCAATTGTTACTGTTTCGGTCGAATCTCCCTTCAAATATAACATTTTAGAGTCAAATTTTATTGACTTTACCTTACAAGGAAATATCAAGAGGAAGCTCACATGGTGCTCAAAGTTTTTAATCGATAGAATTCAAGGATTGCTTTTTAAAATCATAGATAGAAAGGCAGATGGATAGAGTTTAAATTGTTGAAATGACTCAAACTATGAAACTACCAGAGGCTTGCATGAGCATTCACTTTGATTGACATGCTGCAGATTCTTAAACTTGTATATATGAATTTTCATGGTGAAAATATTGCAGGTGATAACTGGGTATGGAGTACCAAAAGTACTTTTGGATTCAGGACACCCGAACTTCAAGAAGGGTGACTTGGTTTGGGGGACAACTGGATGGGAAGAGTACAGTCTCATTTTTGCACCCGATTCCCTTTTCAAAATTGAACGTATTAATGATGTACCTCTCTCAAACTATACGGGAATTCTGGGTAGGTATTTAGCCTTTTGTCATTAAAATTTAAATCCCAATGCCAAATAAACTCTCATTCAAGGGGATACACGCAGTCCATTGTGTATGCCTATATGACAGGCCTTGGAAGTTCTTGCTATAGCCTTCTGTCATTCTTGAAGGTGGAATTTTCATTTTAATTTGAGAACCCTGATCGTTTGATGATTTCCTAGTTATAGCTGATATAGATACATATCTTGTTTTAATTGTCATTTTGGAGATGACATAGTCAATGTGTTGAATTGTTAGCATTAGTTGTGTTGGTGGCATTTGAAATTTAAAACTTGACCATGTTGCAACTCCATTTTAGAAGTCTCAAATAGAGTGAAGTTGGAGGTTAATTAGCTTATTTGATGACCTTCCCTTTTTCATTGTTCTAATGATTTTAGTCCTCAATTTACTTCTGGTACATTAATGGTACTCATTATATATATTCTTTTCTTCTTTCTTTTTTTGGCAAGTATGTCACACTCATGCACCCACAATTGCCCCTTTACAGGGACTTGAACCGCAACGTTCCACTATAAATATCTCTAGATCACAATGTTAGAATTACGTCTTTCTCATAGTTATGTCATTAATATTTCTAATGTCCCATCAAATTTTCTTGCATTTATTTCTTATTAGGTATTCCCGAAATGGCTGCTTATGCTGGTTTTTATGAGATTTGTACTCCTAAAAAGGGTGAATATGTATGTCTCTGCAGCATATGGTGCAATTGGTCAGCTGGTTGGGCAGTTTGCTAAGTTGATGGGGTGCCATGTCGTTGAAAGTGCTGGAAGTAAAGAAAATGCGAGTCCTATCTCAGTAGCGTTTCATATTTTTCATTACCATTTCTTGGTGGATGCTTGTTGGATATCTTCAAGGTATTGCTACAGTCACATATTTGACAGTCTTCATTAACCATGGGTATCCTCAACCTGTCTTGTATATATTGACGATCTTCGTTAATTAATGTGGGTATCCTCATCATGTCATGTATATTATATAATCATTCAAAATTTACAATTAAAAGTTAATTCCATATAAGATAAATTACATTACTATGACCCCTACTGTAGTCTTTTTCTTTTCCCAGTCTAAATTGTCCTTGAATCGCTTTCCCTGCAATAATTCAATTTCTTACTTGAATGTCATTGCCACTAGTATCTGACATTTCTCAATGAATAATTTCAAAACTGCATATAATTCAGATATTCAACACATCTGTATTTCTCTTCTCACTTCATGGTTTTACTATTCATGGACTCTAAATTTTTGTTGTAACATGTGCCTGTCTCATTCATTAAAAACCTCGAGTTTTTGTTTGAATTGATAATCCTTGTATTTTTAGTTTGCTTAAGCAATTAGTTTATTTTATTTTATTAGTTTCCTAGCTTTATAGTTTTAGGTTTTATTTATTATAAAAATATGTACTGCAATAGCAAAAAAAGATTAATCAATTTTATCAATAATATATTAGAATTTCTCGTTAATTTTCTCCTAGTTTGTGGATTCAAACTACCCTATCTTGTGGATTCAAGACAACTCTCGCTCCTTGTGAACATCTTATTATTGGGGCACAACAGAAGTAAAAGAAGAAAATACACAAGCAATCACACAACAAACGCAAGATATACATGGTTCACCCAAAATCAAGGCTACGTCCACGGATGAGAAGATATTCACTATATATGTAGAGATATTACAATAGTAGAGAATTTCCAACACCGAACCATGCACACAAACTCTTGATTGAGTTCTCCGTACACTCTGCGAGACTCCCTCTCGCCATTAGTGTTCACTCTACCAAACGCGTAACTCACCCCTACCTATCAACGTACTCCCTCATAAGGCTGCATGTCTCTCAACTCATAACTCTCAACAATACCCTAGGTGCCTATTTATAGAGTCTCATACCTAATTTCTTGGTGGACAAAGATTACAATTTCTTAGAGCCCAAAACATATCTCTACAAGAAATTATCATTATAAAATAAACCTTAAAATAGAAACTAATAATAATAGAAATTTAAGACATAATTCTTGACACTTATCGCTTCTGCTACGTCAATTTATTTCTTATTAGATATGCCCAGAATGACTACTTATGCTGGTTTTTATGAGATTTGTACTCTTAAGAAAGCTGAATATGTATTTGTCTCTGCAGCATCTGGTGCAATTGGTCAGCTTGTTGGGCAGTTTGCAAAGTTGACGGGGTGCCATGTTGTTCGAAGTGCTGGAAGTAAAGAAAACACGGTCCTATCTTAGTAGCATTGCATCTTTTTCACCAGCCCTCGTCCTGTCATGTATATTATATAGTCATTCATTTACAACTGGAATTTAATGCTCTAGTCTGTTGTTTTTTCCCCACTCTAAATTGTCCTTGAATCGTTTTTTCCTGTATTAATTTAATTTCTTACTAGAATGTCTTTGCCACTGGTATCTAACATTCCTCAATGAATAATTTCAAAACCGTATATAATTTAGATATGCAACACATCTGTATTTCTCTTCCCACTTCGTGGTTTTACAATTCATGGACTCCGAATTTTTGTTCATTTAAAATATTGAGGTTTTGTTTGAATTGATAATTTAATATGATCGAATTTGAGATTCAATTGACAATATTAACTACTGGAATAAGAGTGGGAGAGATGGGAGAAATGATGAAGAGTAGTGGTAGGAGAATTCCCAAGAATTACCAACTTCTCCTGTGCAATGGATGCTTTCATGGGATGAATTTTAAATCACCTTGTTAAACCATCCATGGATATTGTTGAATTTCAGTTTCTAGCTAGCTACAACATTGAATGACCAAATTGAAATCCATCAATCAAAAGTCAGCCTAATATTTTGTTTATATGATTCAATCCTCAACAATAGCTAATATGTTAGTTTTTGCTTTTATTTCGAGTAAAGTTGATCTGATGAAGAACAAATTTGGGTTCGATATTTCGTTCAATTACAAAGAAGAGCATGACTTTTATGCAGCTTTGAAAAGTTCAGTACTTTTTTTTTTTTTTTCTTATTGAAGTCCAAAATTTTGCTTTAAAAGCAAAGGCCATGAGTTAGACGCCTTGTGAGTTGGCCATTCTGTTACATATCTGTTACTTACAAAAAGACATTGGCTCCGTTTGTTTCGATTTCACGTGAAATAAAAAAAAATTTAAAGGTAAAATATATCTCTTATTTTTATTTTATCGGTATTTAACAAAGGTCTACGTCAAGATTGAGGTCGAGTTCATCAGGTGGGGAATGTAAAATAACTTGTCGAAAATTGATAGATAAGTTATTTTTGTTAAATTTTAATATTTTTTTTTTCGTAAATATTTTATGATAATCAAACACCAAAAAATGAAAAAGTATTTTCTGAAAAATATTTTACGTCCAAACAAAGAAGCTGAGATGCATTGTTTCTTAAAATACTAATAGTTAATTAGTAATCATATACCATCAGTTGTGACAATGGCTTGCACTTTCTTAAATAGCCCTGTTTTCAGGATTATGTCGTTTTGATCTTTACTTAGATGGTGGTTGCATAGAACTCTAGAATAAATCCCAACTTAAAATATTTTGAATTTTGGTTTGAAACATGCATAAAACAAGAAATGAAGCAAGTGCAGTAAAAGAAATCAACAAGAAAGAGGACAGGAATTTTTAAATTCAGTAATTTGTGATGATCTATATAGTTGAACAATAAAATCATTTGTATAGGTTATATTATTTGTACAAATGTTTGTCCCTCTAATTGCAAATCCGATCTTGGTTTTAACATATAAAATTAATTGTATGTATGGGAATCATTTTACTCAAAAAATTAAAATTGTAATATCAGATTATTATAATATTGAAAATTTGTTTTAAAGCATGCAAGAAACAAGAAATTAATAACAAGAACAAAGTAGAGGGCTGTATTATATGGTTCAATGATTGGCCTACATTATCTAGGCAATCTTTAGTGAATAAATCCAATAGATGAAGAAATAATCTAGTAACAGATTCCTTTATTTCGGAAAAGAGTCCGCGCTATTTCATCTCAACTCTCTTTGTTTGTTTTTCAATTTTTGCTACACATCTGTATCGTTGTGGCAAGAGAAAGGTATATCCTCTAAACATCAGATTGAAAGAAAAATTGGACGATTAAGGATACAAGACATCTCATACTTATAAACTAAGATTCTTGAAAATTAGATTTAAAGGAACTCCAATTGTGGCACCATAAAAATATAAAACTATTTCAACATTAGTACTATTTCAATTAATCATGTGCCTGCATATGTAAAAAAAAAAAAAAAAAAAAAAAAAAAAAAAAAAAAAATTTAAAGGGAGGTTTATTGCAAAACGCTAAAAGTCAAGCAGGTTAATGCAATTTGCCCATAATAATATTAATAATAGTATTCGAATTATAGATGTTTTTTTAACTTCACTAAAACTGCCTTTGCTAATTTTATTTATTTGGGGTGAAAAGGGGGTTTACAAGAGATTCTAAACAACAACTAATCTCTATTTATTTTGAATATAAGGTTGATCCATTGAAGAACAAGTTTGGGTTTGATGGGGCTTTCAATTACAAGGAAGAGTACAACTTGGATGTTGCTTCACCCCAAATAAATAAAATTTGATCCATTGAAGAACAAGTTTGGGTTTGATGGGGCTTTCAATTACAAGGAAGAGTACAACTTGGATGTTGCTTCCCCCCAAAGGGAAGGTCAGAGATTCGAACCTCAGTGCAGATAGGATGTGTGCGTAATTGCTTTAATTTTCGAAAAAAAAATTTAAAATTCCTGACTGGTTAACTGAGTTGTGAATTCCCTTGAGATTACAAAACTTATCAAGGTATCACCAAAAAAATTTTAAAATTCCTAACCGGTTAAATGAATTGTGAAATATCAAATTTGACATTACTATTTAATATTATATTAAAGGTTATAATTGTTATTTTAAAATTATAAAAATATCCGTCTTCTTTCCAAGCATTTTGAATGTCAAATTTGATTTAATAGCTTTTAACTAATATTTTTGTAAGCACTTTGGAGTATTTTTGTAATTTTAAAATAATAATTATAGTTTTAAATTTAATATTAAATATCAAAGTCAACTCTAACATTTCCTGGATTAACTTAATAGGTTTTTGTTAGTTTGAGAGGTTTTAAACTTTATTGAATTTTTATGTTAGAAAGGGATTTTGTAATTTTAACGTTAATTTAAAGAATATGGATCTCTACAATTACCTACTATGAACATAATATCTTTATAATATCTTATCAGATTTATAAATGGATCCACAAAACAAATAACTTTACTAACCTAATTACTGTCACCTCAAACTAATTTCCAAAAATAAATGATTACTTGAAATAGTTAACCCATCACCCAAACTCAAAATATTTTCTTACACATACGCGGGTACACCATATGGCGGATTCTACGCATTTATTTCAAATTCTATGCGTTATAATGAGCTGAATGCACGTCAATCGGGATGGTATTTAAAATTGGAACATTTAAAATAAGCTGATCCATAAATATAATTCGAAAATAAGTTACAATCGATTACTTGCTCTATCTTTTGAAGTTTACTTCAACATCTTAAATGTTAAATAATATCCGTAGAATCATTTTTTCAAACAAATGGTAATTGAAATTCAGCTCACCCTCAAATTTTGTTGAGTAATAATATGGATGAGCAAAAGTCATAAAAAGAGAGTTAGCTTTGATAATTTTTTATGCATGGTAGAGAAAAACAAAACCATGTAATATTGGTGGTTGTGTCCAAAAATAAAATCATGTAAAATTGAATTTTATTATGTCAGGTAAAAAACATGTTACAAGTAGTATCACAATCACAACTAAATAATGACTAAAGGAAATGGAAAAAAACCAAATGCAGAATGGAAGCGGATGAGATCTTGCAATTTCATTTAATGGCTCTTCAATCAAATAACCTAAAGTTCATTAACAAAAAGATCATTTCTATTTTTTGAGACCATGATCGGCGGCCCGCACGTGTGTTCTAGATGGGTCAAGCCCACCACGATATGGTCCATACCTACTACACACCAACTTTTCATTCATATACCAATTGGTCTTCAGTGATTATGATCTTGTTATTGTAACGGTGGCAGATGTTTGTGCATTTATTTAAAAACTTAAATTATTGTGTAATACAATATATCGACTCATTTATACCAATTTCACTTTCTATTCGGATTCTGATGTTAAACAATTATTCCCTTGTAACATTCTTTCCCACTCGAACTTGTAACGCTCTCGTTATGGTTGGGCCACCCTCCCTACTTGAGTGGACTCACTAGAACATTTTCGAGCCGGGCGCTTGCCGTGACACCGGATCAAATAGTGGGTCTAGCTCTAATACCAACTGCAATGGGTGAGCGCTTACCCATTGATAAAAAAAAACTTAAACTATTAAATAATCCTACATACCCATCCATTTATACCCATTTCATTTTCTATCCGGATCTAATGTTGTACAAATACTATTTGTAACACTTATACACACCCGTCTCACTTCTTTTAAGCTTATGAAATACCTTGCACCCAATTTCACATTCAACCGAAACGAAACTGAGAAAGTAAATATATCATGTTCATCCACTCTCGAAATTCACCAAAATCATTCAACAGGACAACCATAACTTTAGTCCGAAGAATGCTTAATATAAGCTTGGTTTGGAACAAGAATAAATTAAGAAATATTGAGTCCAAAAAGAATAAAAACAATGTGATCAATAATTTTTTAGTTTTGATAAGATGAAAGGGTGAAAATAAAGTGAACGGTAGAAAAGATGATCCGAATGAAAATATTTGTCTTTACTAGTAACTTTTCTCTACTCTAATATTTTATTCCTCTTCAGTTTGAGGCTAGATTTAGACATCTAACATTATATAACAAAGTTAATATTTTCTATTAAATTTTGAGTAATAAAGGAGTGGCAATTTAAGTCTAAATTCATTAAACCGTTCAAACTCGTCCATTAAAATCAAATTATTTGAGCATTTAAATTTAAGGAAGTGGGTCAGTTTGGATAAAAAAAAATGGGTACCAATACAATTCAAGTAAAAAATAAATAAAAAGCTTGTTTGAGCGAGAAAAAAAAAAAAAAAAAAAAAAAAAAAAAAAAAAAAAAAAAAAAAGAAGAAGAAGAAGAAAAAAAAAAAAGAGTTCAAACATGTTGACCCATTTCTGTCTGAGCCCTTATCTATTTATTACCCACCATTGACCGGTTAAAAATGGATTACTGATCTATTCATACCCAACTCATTCAAAATCCGCCCAATTGCCTCCCCTATTTTTTAACATATTTATTTAACATTATTTTATATTTTAACGGTGTTAAATGTGTATTGAAATATAAAATAAATGAGTATATAATTGCGTTAAAAAACAATATAACACTGAAGTGCCATAGAGTAACTGTAAAGGTACGAGACTGAATGACCAACGGGCCAGTAGTTGATTGACCTGACGATAGAG